TCCATCTTTTTACAGTCCTTAATACAGGTTTAGCTGATTTCAGTTTCTGCCTGTAGGTCGGTATAAGATGAACCAAGCAGTGATCAGAGAGCCCCAAAGCTGCTCGTGGGACAGAGTGATATGCATTCTTTATTGTGGTGTAACAGTGATCCAATATATTACTGTCTCTGGTGGGACATGTGATGTGCTGTCTGTATTTTGGCAGTTCACGGGAGAGATTTGCTTTATTAAAGTCCCCGAGAATGATCAAAACAGAGTCCGGGGGGTGTTCTGTGTCTGTGATCTAATCAGCGAGTTTCTGTAAAGTGGAGCTCACGTGTGCTTGCGGAGGAATGTAGACACTGACGAGAATGAACGAACAAAACTCCCGCGGCGAATAGAACGGCTTGCAGTTAATGAAGAGCACTTCTAGATCTGAACAGCACATCTTCTTTAACACAGTTACATCTGTACACCACCTCTCATTGATGTAAAAGCATGTTCCGCTGCCGTGCGATTTCCCCGTTGATTCTGCGTCGCGATCTGCTCTGAACAGCTGAAAGCCCGGGAGACTCAACGCGCTGTCCGGAGTGGCGTCTTTCAGCCAGGTTTCCGTGAAACATAGAGCAGCAGAGTTTGAAAAATCCTTATTTATCCGGGAGAGCAGAAGAAGTTCGTCCGTTTTGTTGGGTAGAGAGCGGAGGTTCGCCAGATGGATGCTAGGCAACGGCGTTCTGAATCCGCGCTGTCTGAGCTTCACGAGCGCGCCGGCTCTCTTCCCCCGTCTGCGCGTCCTGAAGCGCTTGATCAGCGCAGCAGCTCCGCCAACTACTATGTCCAGCAAAACATCCGAATAGTCGAAAACCGGTGAAATATCGGGTGGTGTGTACTTCCGAATGCCCAGCAATTCGTCTCTGGTGAAACTGATTGCAGGGATATAACTAAAGACAGGACAAACTAACAAAAACATAAAAACAACTGCGGAGCATGCCACGGAGGCAGCCATCACCGTCGGCGCCATCCGACGGTGATGGCTGATTTCATTTACTCAGCCTCATGTCATTCCAAATGACTTACTTTCTTCTGTAAAACATAAAAGAAGATATTTTGAATTGGAACGGTTGGCAACCAAACAGTTTTGGTTCTCAGTGACTTCCACTGTATGGATAAAAACACACTGGAAGTCAGTGGGAACTGAAACTGTTTGGTTACCAATATTCTTTACATCTTCATGCATGTTCAGCAGAGGAAAGAAATGCATTCAGTTTTAGAATGACATGAGGATGAGTAAATGAAAGACATTTTTGGGTGTACTGTCCCTTTAAGTTAATGTGATAAGCTACACCTGTGGTTACTCCGACATTTAGTTTGTTAAATGTAACAGGAAAAACATGTCTTAAAGTTAGTTCTGAGAAAAGCTCTAGCATCACTTGATGCCACTTGTTTTGATATGTTTTTATCTAAAGCAATAACATTCAGATATTTTCAAGTGTGTCTTAAGTGTCCAGATACTTTTTGAACTGACTGTATATTCATATTCAATAAAATTGGGTAATGTTTTTCTTATTTAGACTGCAGATAAAATTTACATCTTGGTATTTTGACATTATAAAGCTGTTGCACAAACCAAATTGTCTAAGTTTTTATGATGAAGGGTTTGTTTGCTTGTATAGTGATTTGTGTCTTCCTTTGGTCTGATGGGGCTTAAATGAGCCCTTTGAGCCATTTTTTATATCTTTAACTCTTTTGAAAGACCAAACACATCTGAATTCAACATGTCTTTATTTTAAACACTAGACCGTTCTTTTCTCACCAGAGTCTTTTTGTAGCCCTGCTGTTTGCTCGGCCGTTCAGACGTGTACAGCCCCACTAAAACATTAGACTTCCTGTCCTTACTTTTCCATTTCTCCAAATGCGGTGAAGAGAGGGAGAAGAAAATAACATGACTGCACAGGAAACAACAAACTGAACATTATAGGCTGGTTTTCGCTTTCATGGAAAAATGTAAAAAATTGCTGCTTCAAGATTCATATTGCCACTATTTTGTGGTTTGTCAGTTTCTGCCAGAACTGCACGAGTTCAGAGGAGGCCAAACACACACTCATCATCTCTTTCTATCTCCCTCGCTCTCTCTGTCTCTTTTCAATTCAGTGTGCTGTCTTGGCATTACTTTTAACTATACAATATCGACAAAGCATTCAGTCAATACAGGATTAGCACTGGTAGGAAGGTTCATGCACAACACCAGTGTGCAGCAGCAAAGGAAACAGAAGTCATTCTTTTTACTGCAAATTAGTCAAGAGCAACCGTGACAGTTAGCGATCTGATAAGAAAAGATATGATGCAATGACTTCCAATAAAAATGAAGTTACAGGACCACATGTTGGCAAATGGAGGAGAAATTGATGTGACTATAAATCATTTCACTATTCTTTGTGGTTTCTGTCCACATATAGAAACAAACTACTGCGAGTTATTCCCATACACTTAAATGTTTTAGGTGCTGTTTAGGTTAGATTGATTTTCAAAGTAGAAAAAAATTATTTTCATGATAAAAATATATTCTATTTTTTCATGTTAATTTTCTAGAATTGTTTTTTTTTCTTGTATCTTGACATTTGTGTGGCTTTAAACCTCACCTTTAAAACTACCAATCTGGAAGCCATGTTTGTAAAATGTATCCACTCCCTCTTGTCTCTTGTTGGTTGTGATTGCCATTATTTCTGGGTTTGAGGGATTATTAAAGGATGTTTATAAAGATTAAAGAGCTTCAGACTGGCCAACCAAACTGATGTCAAGTGCAGGGGAAAGTCTTTTCCCCCCTTTCCTCTGGGGGAACAGAATGTTCAGGAGGCCGACGAATCGCTTAGCGTGGCGTGCACTAATAATATGGTGCATGATTGCATGTGTAATGCTTTTGAGGAAGAAAGAGAAAGTGTGTGCATGGGGAAAATAGAGGCTACGAAGCAAGAATTAAGTATTTCATTTCTTTCTCACCACTATAGTGGCCTCGAGATATTTGAGGACTTTTACTTGTCATGCAAAATGTACTCTAGTTTGAGCTCTAAAGATATTACATGAGACATTTTATGCTCCTTGTTTGCTCCTCAATCTCTGGTGCAAGGCAAACCTCGGAGTTCAAGGCAGAGCAAAATTTGAGCCCAGTTATTGATCCACCATAAAGTTCTTTCAATATGACTTTTCTTCGTAATTGTTTCATGTTCATTCATTTGCAGCAGTTTCAAGGGGAAAGAGTGTCTTATTACCATCCTTTAGATTTCCATATGTTCAAGGACCTTTTCATATTTTCTTGACACATTTTTAAATTTAACGTTTTTTGCTTGTCTCCACAATTTCATTAATTTTTACAAATAATTTTTCTCCCCTTGCCATTCATAGTTCACACTTTTAGTCACCGATTTTGCTTTTTTCTGTTAGATCCTCAGCATCTAGAATTTCTGTGATAATCACCTCTCACTCACATGTCAAACATGTTATCTTCCATACATCTAAACATGTATTTAGTGTCTTTCATTACACAGTTAAAAATGGTATCAAAAGCCAAAGGTTAAGTCATAAACTTAACCCATACTATGCATGCCTAAGAGAGATAGTCTAACCATTGTGTGTTAAAATGCAGAAAGTAAAAAATTAGTTGCAGACTGGATTTAGGGATGTAACACTTGACAGGCCCTTGAGCCGGTAGTTTGACACCTATGTTGTAGATTCATACTGTGCAAGTTTCTTTGCATGTGTTGTTGAATTTTTATCCATGGTAGATGGGCATTATAGACATGCATTTGTTAGTTTGCTCTTGTGTGCATGTACATCATTGTGTGTGTAATCCTGACCTTAGAAGCCCCTTCACAGAGAGATCTTGCCAGAGTGATTATGAATGTCATGGAAATCTGCCTTGGCTTAGATGTGATGGATCTCCTTCCTGCTTGGCTGGTACAGTTACTGGATGACTTGTTTCCTTTCTAAACCCAGAAGTACTGCTGCCTGTGCCTTGCACACCATAACATTACGGGATTATGACAGAATTCCTGCAATCCATACACAGCAGCTCATTCATTTGGGCCCATCTCCATCTTGGTGGGCCTGCCAGTCAAACGGTCATATTGAAATTCACTTTAGATTAAGTTAAAGTATAAAATGCTCTATTGCCTCGGGACCTGGTGTTACTGTGAGTGCTTTTACTGTGTTTAGTGGAATATTTAATAAGGCTTGGGGTTTTACCAAACAACTGGCGACTAAACAGACAATTACTATTAAGACATGTTGCATTAGACTTAATAAGAGTCATTTTTAATATACATGAGATTTTGATTGGTAAATAAAAAAAGCAGTACATTCATAAGTGGGTAATGGCTCACAACTTCAAATTTGTAATTAAAAATGGCTACACAATTTTTATTTTTAATTTGAGTAGCACTGTCCTGTAGGCTACTTATAGTGTGTGTTGCTGTGGCCAGAACGGACCTTGGCATGTAAGACGTTCTAAATCTTGCTCAGCATCCTGAGGGTGTGATTAGGGGTGGCTGTCACTATGAATGTTGCCATAGAGACAGGCACATAGACAGAGGGCAATATCAGTGAGTTGTGCTGCTGTCAGCAAAAGTGCAGCAAGAAATCGATGCTGCAATTATCATAGGTTGTGGTGAGGGGAGGGCCAACGAAGCGGTGCATGTCCTTTCTCCTTTGTCATCCGCTTCCCCCTTCCAAGGTCTTCCTTAGCTTAGTGGCCAAATCTTTCCACTGGCTTATTAATGTGTACTTTGATTTTTAAAAAGCACACAAAAATTGGTTTGGGTGAAGGTTGAAACTGAAGGTTTGTGAATGTAAAATCATGCACAGATGCATTATGTATTCAGGTTTTTGTAATTAACTAAACACTCATTGATGTGTGAAATCTGAAAACAAATTTTACAGACATTTCTCGTATTGTTTTTTTATCATAAATATGTTTGTATTTGTTTTACAACAGACACTTAAGCTTTGTTCTTTTTTTTGTCTTGCAGGGGGTCAAAACTCACTTGGATCACCAGTGATAGTGGAGACAAGGCTGAAATAAAAAGTATTCAAAACATCCTCTTGAAGGTAGGAGGAAAACGGGGACCTGTCCTTTATAATTTCTTCTTAAGAGTCCCGGGACCACTTAGAAAACACCACCATACAAATGTGTACCCCTCCATCAAAAAATCATAAAGACTTCACCGTAGATTAGTATCAGAAAGAAAAAATGACAGACACAACAAGTCGCCATCTGAGACACAAGTTGCAGAGCTTAGGACGACGTCTGGATGAGCTTGAAGAGGCCAGAGGAAAACTACAGAAAGCTGAAGATGAACTTCTTGACATTCAGGACAAAATCATTCAGGCTGAGGGTAGCAATTCCTCACTGCTCGCCGATGTGGAGACAATGCGGAAGAGATTGCTCAAAATTGAAGGCAAAGATGAAGAGGTCAGGAAAGCGGAGGATCTTTGTCGTGAGGTTCGGGAGAAATTAGATCAAGAAGAGAAACTTACCAAGAATCTTAAAGCAGAGATTGAGCGTCTTCAGCGTAGAATGACTGAACTTGAGAAGCTTGAAGAGGCTTTTGGTAAAAGCAAGTCCGACTGTACCCAGTTGTGCCTTAGTCTTAATGAAGAGAGAAACCTGACCAAAAAGCTTGCAGCAGAGCTTGATACCTTGAAGGTCCGTGTCAAGGAAGTGGATACCTCTGAAGCTCGACTTGACAGGGCAGAAAAATCCCTTACTGCAGAGATGGAGAAACTTAAGAGTCTCACTCAGACTTTTGTGACTGAACGCAAAAGACTGCTGGAAAGGCAGAGAGAGGATGAGAAAAACATACTCAAGCTGACTGAGAAGCTTGAACGTCAGAAAAACAAACTAGGTCCAGCAGACCACAGCCAATTTGATTCTAGAGATCTTCGAATTGAGGATGAATTCTCAGCAGGCCTTACATGCAAACGGAAGAAGAGTCTTGACTATTTGAAGCATTCAGGTGACCTAGATTTGAGAAATGATTCAGAGAATGAGAAAAATAGCTTAGAGGGGCAAGAAGATAATAAAGTTAAAGACCTCAGCCAGGAAGTGGAAAGACTGAAGAATCGTTTGAAACAAATGGAGTTAGTGGAGGAGGACTTGAAAAACATGGAATCCAAGAATGCTGAATTGATAGAAAAGTACCAGCAGGAGAGAAACCGTAGTCAAGCGCTCCATGACCAGGTTGAGCAGATGAAAATGCAGCTCAGTGGTTGCAGCAGTAGTAATGGAAACTCTGCCATTACCAGCACTACAAAGGTCCTAGAGAATGGCAAGGCAGAAACTGAAGAGATCCATGTACGAGGCTTCAGACAGGAGAAACCTAAATTGTTAAATAGGAGTCCTGCTGCTTCTGAACCAGTCACCTCAAAGTACAAAAGCAGAGAGGCATCTCCTCAGCAGAGGCGAGAAACTAAGCAGAGGAACAAAGACCTGTGTCACTCCACAGAAAGCTCCCCAAAGACTGTACGAAGGACTCTTAGTCCAGCACATAGTGTCAGGAAAGTTATGAGGACTGGTGCTTCCAGTACTACTTCTGATAATGGGACAAAAGATGGAAAGAAAGATGAAAAAATCGGAAGTGTCTCATCAAGTACTCTCACTGAAAGCAAGAAAGTTTCAGTCCTTAGTCGCTATCCTCCAGCTGCTAATGACCAAAAGTCTTGGAAGCCATCGGTCAAGCAAATTGACAGTGATAGCAATAAGAGTCGAACAGAGAAGTTGTCCAGGTACCCTGGAAATGATAGTGAATCAAACAACTCTGATGGGTCACTCCTAATTTCAGCCAGTGCTGCTGTCTTTGCTTCATCTGAGAAAGGACTAACTGAACCTGAGAGTCTAGATCAGGATGCTTCTGCAATGTTGAGTATGTCCAAGGCAAATGGTTCCTATACTGCTTACAGATCGCATATATCTCCATCTGTTCTGAGTGACCATGGTTCTGATGGTCACTCCTCAGCCTCCGAAACAGAATCCACTGGCTCCAGACGATCGGCAGGTGAGCAAAACGACCCCCTGATGTCAAGTGGAAGAAAATACACTAGATACTCACAGCTGCAAGAATCTTACTCTGATGGTTCCTCAAAGATCCCCTTCAGCGAGGAGCAACACAGGCCTCTTATGGTGGAAGGGGATACCCAGGAAACTACGCATTCTACCTCAGGTATTGAGGTCCGCAGGGTATGCAGCCCTCGTGAAGCCCTCCGGTCAAAAGCTATCATCAAGCAAGCCATTGTTGAGATTGATAGAAAGGAAGTGATGTCAGGGGGAGTCACAGAGCCTTTGACCACCAGTGGGAAACCCAAGATCTCCACTAAGCCAGTATTGACTAGCAAGATGACCAGCAGTATCACCTTCTATCCCAATGACCCCAGCTCCTCTCGAACAAGCAGTCGAAGCAGTAGTTTATCAAGCGAGCCCCCTTCCAAGGAAAGGCACACTTCCACAAGTAATATTGTCATCAGCCCCAGTATTGAGCACAGAGGTAGCATCTCTATACCTTACGAAATATCCATCCCTAAAAGTGAGATCACTCTACGTCAAAGTGAGGCTGATGCTGACTTTTCTGAAACTCGCAGTTACCTTGAGACTGCTCCTGTGGAGGCAGCCCTCGTATCTCAAAGCAGCTTCAGCCTCCAGTCTTCAGAAGCTTCAAACTTGAACAATGACATTGAGTCTGGCTTTGAGAGCAGCAGTAGCAGCACCACCATGACCAGCTGGAGAAGCCACCACAACCACCACTCATATGATGACAGCTTGCCAGAAATGAGAAACGTCACTGTCAGGAGCACTTGGAGGAGCCGTGGGGCAGCTTCTGTGGATGAATCTGCTCGAGCGCTAAGGCAAGATTGCTCAGAGGATGATGGTGAGTCTGCAACCACCTGGAGAGCGTATAGGGCAACTACAGTGATGGACACTCCATCAAACTCCAGCACTGTTGCTAGTTGTGGAGGGAAACCAAGCCCAGTCGAAGTATACATGCGTAGGATCAACAATGCAGCACCATCGTTCCATGATCTGGGACGACGGAACAAGAAGACTCCTTCACCAGAGAGGGCTATTGCACATGAGCCTGTCAGTGCTCAGCAGCTTCAGCCAAGAGGCCGTAAACACCCCATGGTGAGTACTGACTTTTTACCTTTTGACCAAATTCAATAAAAAATATTTTTTTATAAATTAAAAAAAATATAATTTTATAAATTAATTTAACCTTTAAATACATTTTATACATTTATTTGACCTTTTAAAGATTCAGGTGTTTACCATAGTTTCATGTTTATTTTGAATTCCCATCATGATATATGCTAGTTTGTTAGAATGAATGCATAATATTTCTTGCCAATTTAAATTTGTACTGCTCAGTCCACCGATGGATGTTTTTCAACATGGTCAGTTTAGATCAATGAAGATAAAGTTAAACAGTGGATAAAATTAAGGGAGCCCCAATCAGGATTTTAGTTTTTTACAATGGGGCAATTGTTGCACAATAGTTTACACCCAGCAAAATCCTGATTTCTTGAGCTGTATGTGATGCGGCCTTAAGCCCAAACTTCGGCCGTACGTATACTGCACCTTTCCGTGACGGTCCGCACACTGTCCTTGTGACGCAATTTTCATCATCAGAAGTGTCCCTGGATGTCCATGCACACTGTCCATGTGCAGCCCAATTTTTGTGACCATGCAGTCCGCATACAACAGTGCAGAAGCTAGGTAAATATTATATGTGTGCGCTTTGAGTGTGCATGAGCGCACAGTCTCTAGAGCGCACGAGTGCTGAATGGTTTAAACACTGGCGAGACTTAAAAAGAAATGCAAATTATAAACTTTATTGACAATGTGACACTGCCTCAATTGTGCAAGTGACAATTCCTGTGTCAACTGTGCAGGGTGCAACTCGCTTAGTGCAGACGTGATGTGGTGATTTGAAGCCATTTTCGCATTTTGAGAGAGAGAAAGAGCGAGTGCACATTGATTCATTCACGCTGTTTGAAATTACGTCTCACAGAAAGTTTTCAAGTTACTTTGTAAGTTATTTAATAAAGAAATATGAATTGTACCTCACCTTCAGCATTATAATTATTTTACCCACACCGGACAGAGATTGAGACGGTGCCACTGCATGTCATGGCAAACCGCTCACGCCAGGCGCGTCGTCAGCTTGAGATCGGCCTTTCCCAAAGAAATATTATCCAAAAGCAATCAGTAGCCGATCAATTGGAGCACCCCTACATAAAATATCCTGGTAAAATTGAGGTTAGGTCAGCAATATGCTTATGCAAATCATCTGATTATCCAAATCCAATCTTGCTTGTTTATTCTCTTGGTAGTTTGTGTTCTCTCCCCCCATTCCCACCACATATTTGGTGCCACCATTTTAATTATTATTATTCATTATTAATATAATATCGATACGTTTTAATATTTAGCCATGGAATATAACACTTTTTTATTTTGTTTGATTTGGAAGTTTTTCTTGTAATACTCTGCATCTGGAAGAAGGTGAAGAGGACAGATATTTTGTAACCATGAAGTATTTTTAGATCACTCTCTGTCTGCTGAAAGAGAAAAATAGGCCCTTGAGATATCTTTTCTCTTCTGTTTTTCTTGATATGGAATCCTAACCAGGAAACTGTTTTCCAGTTGTAGCCAGTCTGTCTTCAGTCATTTGAATACATTATAAGTACATGCAAGACTAAGCTGAAGTGAGAATTAATAAACTAGGCTCTTATTGTTTATATTAGTAGTTTAAACCTGCTTTCTTTCCCCTTCTTCCTTGACTTCAATATTTTCAGAGTATGGAACTTTATGGTAAGGTAGAAGTCTTCAAGTTAATATTTTTGCTTCCTTTTAAAGTGGTATAATACTCCACATGAATGGTGAAAATTATGTGGACACCTCCTAATTAATAGATTCAGCCAGTTTTATGTAGGTCCCTACATGTTTTTTTTTTTTAAATATATTTATACGAATAAAGCTGTTTTCATTTTTTGGAAGTAATATTTCTTTGTAAGATATTGATACATGCAAAGAGTGTTGAAAGCTAATGATGGACAGGTCATAGACCATGCCTTTGTTTTCAGCAAAACTGTTAGTCAGGTCAACGGGCAGTTTTTGTCTCACCAGCTAAACCAATTTGAGTCTGGCGTCACCCCAGCAGTCAAAACAAAACAGGGAAAGCTTTCACCCTTTTTCACTTACTGAGAATACAAGTAAGAGAATAGAGCTGCATCCTATCAGTGCACCAATTACCATCACCTCTCATTAAACATCTCAAACAGCCCAGCCCACAAATTTACCCACAAAGACCTAATTAAATTACTGAGATGGCCTTTGAGACTCAAACATGGCCCCTTCCTGGCACACGACTTCAAAAACAAAAACTGCCCCTTTTTCTCCAATCTATCTTTCTCACGTTCTATTTCATGCCATGTTTGTTTTGTTGTTGTTGGTTTTTTGTCTATTGCTCTGATGAATGGTAAATGTCTGTTCGTTTATCTGAGAAAGTCGAAAGATTAATGCACAAGTGAATTCTAGCACTTGCATAACCAGAGGCCAGATCATTTGTCTTACTCTCTTCTCTCTATCACTCAGTGAAGGTTAGTTTTCTTTGTACTACAGATGGTTCTTCATGCTGTCATTGCAGCTGTAAGTTAATATACTGCTATTGTGATCACACAATCATTCATTCGCTCTTATGTCTCTCTGTCGGGGATTCTCTGTCATTAATCTTTTATCTCTTTCAGCTTTAAAGCATATTTCCATCTGTAGAAGCAAATGTGATTTGTACCATAAACCTTTAAATTGAAAGGGGTAAAAAAAACGGATAAAAATATGTATGCCTTTACTTCAAATGAGTGCATTTTTTGCCTCGTGGTAAAAAATAAACTCCATCAAAACACTCACTCAGGAGTTTGTTTTATTTAGCTACTACATCCAACAGTGTTTACTTATACGTCACAGAAGAATTCTGTGAGTTTAGTCGTTTTCATTTCCACTGCAGTGTAATTTTTGCCATGATGGTGATGGGAAATTTTTAATAGTGAATGACATTCTTTAGAATAAAATAACTCACTCCTTTGTCTTGATAATGCTAATTTCATAGCTATAATTTGTATGCATACTAAAAATACACATTACGGACTAATATTTTCATGCTTTTTTGTGTAAAGAGTGACACTTTGTTTTTTTTTTACACAAGGATCACTGTTTGTTTAGATAAATTGTATTTAAAAATATATATATATATATATGGTGGCTGACTAAATACTTTTTTGCCCCACTGTATATATAATAATGGATTTGCATAATCTAAGATTGAAAGTCTGGGTCTGGGTCAAGTCTAAAACAATAAAGTCTACACATTAAATTGAAAAGCATTAATATAGCCTTAGGCAAAAAATGAAATGTTTAATTTGAATACAAGTCAACTCCTAGGACGTAAAAATGCCAATAGTCAAAGAAGCAACTACATATTCTCAGTCTTACAACTGATTGAAAGCAAACTTATCCATTCCCACTCAATCTGGAGTCCATTAGGAAGGATTTATCTAATCAGCCATGGTCAGGCATGCATTCAACTTTATCTCCAACTCATGTGACTTTACATTTTTTACTAATCATCCCAATAAATACCTCACTTAGGGTTATCACTATGATTGTGACACAACATGATCAATGTTTAAATGAAGAAACCCTATAAACTGAGAATTTGTTCCATTTTTTTTAGCTGTTTGTAGATAATTACGAGTTGCATTGTAAAACTCCTCAGACTTCAGCTAGTAAAACAGATTTGTGGTAAGTGAATTGTGGTCACAGCTGTGGATGCAGTATTGAATTTTTGATTCCATTATTTCTATTTATTTCTCTGGACCTGTATCACATCACATGGTTCCTTTTTTTATCTCGGTGTATCTACAGTGGAATAGTTTGACCGTGGATGTCTTTATTTAAACCTTCAGACGGATTTCCAGACTGTGTCTTATATAAGATCAATACCACAGTGATTAGAGGGAGATTCAATCTGTCCATCAATGATGTGGTGTCGTTGTGCTGATGGGGCAGAGGTATTATCTCCTCCATTATTAATGAAGGCACGTGTCCAGGACTGTACTCACAGATCAAGGTCAAGTCAAATATATGTGCTGCGTGGAGAGCAGTATAAAGTAAAGTAATCCTGGTTGGCCAGATGTCGTGTTATGTTTAGAGCTGGAATGACTTTTCATCCCTGCGTATAAAAATACACAAATCTGGAGTGATTTATGGAGGAATTTTGATCACAGGTTTTTTTGTTTTTTTTTTACTGGAAATTAATATGGGACAGTTGTGCTTGGGCAGGCAACCATTAGCTACTTATTAATATAACAATTTGCTTACATAATATAATAACACTTTGGTTAATGGCATCTGTATAGTGTGATTGCAATATAACAAAGAGTGAAAAATTTAAGGGGGTCTGAATACTTTCCGTACCCACTGTATATATATATGTATATACTGTATATATATATTTATCAGCTTGGACAGAATCACCTTCTATCTTGTTTAATGTTTCTAAATGAAGACACTTCCAGCTAAGTGAAAAAAAGTAGCACTAAATAGAATTGGTCATTCGTTTTCAATAATTTGTAGTGTTCATAAAAATTTTGCATACACAAATTAAATGTGTACAGTAAGTATATCAGAAGGTAATACTATAGTACTTTGATATCCAGTATGCCATAGTTTGAATGATAATGTTGGTATTATGGAATTTACATGGTATAAAAGAATACCATGTTATTACCTTTATTATGTTTGTTTTTCCATTGTATTTTAAAATGATCTAGCTAATGTATTTTTTATAAACTAACTAATAATTTAGTTAAAACTGAATTTTAGATAAAAAATTTTTTTTTTAAGAAATGCTTTTAAAAAGGATGCTCAACCCATAATCAGACTTACATACTTGAATCACTTAAATCACACTGGATATAAAATAATGGAATTTATTTCATTAGTTGTTGTGTTTTTTAAAGATAGAATTTCAAAATATTTTCGTAACAGACCACATGTTCTGCTCTTGGTACTGAGAACATAAACACTTGATCTGTGTTAGCCAATTTTTTATAAAAAAAAAAAAGGAAAGGGAAATCTAGACATTTGCCACTTCAGGACAATCACTAGGAGCAAGTTACAGTTACAAGCACATAAATGGCTTTCCTGTACCATGGATTTACATGGAACCCATTCCGTCATGACATCTTTCTGTAAGATTGTGCTTGGGTCGTTTCCACCCATTGCCCCTTCCTGAGTGACACAGGAAGTTGCAAGGTTGCGCCTGCCCATTTGGCAGCCGATGCATCGTAACTGGTTTCCTGTACACCCACCTCTCGTATCCCAGCAGGCCTCAAGCCCTATTATGGACAATTAGCATCTGTCTGCTGTGTATGAAATTCCACAGCAGTGTGTGGCATATCCTGCTGCCTCATTTGGGAACTTTTTAAAATTGACGTCATAAACCATTTGGTTGGCTGTGTAAAGTCTCCACCTTCATGGTAAAGAAAAGAGACAATAGTCATTCTATATTAGGACTTGTTCTGCGGTCTGAGCAATTTCTCTCCTCTGACGTGTCTAATAAATGTTTGGTCTGATACTTATACCTTTTTTGGAATTGACAATAAAGATTTTAATTAAGCATCTAATGTTTAAAATAGTTCTCTTTAGGTCCTTGCTCGGTTGTTCACACTGTTTCTTTCTTTCTTTTTTTTAAATTTTGGAACCCAAACTTGCGTTGATATATGTGACCCTAGACCACAAAACTGGTCATAAGTGTAATATTTTTGAAATTGATGTTTATACATCATCTGAAAGCTGATAAGCTTACCATTGATGTATGGTTTGTTATGACAGGAGAATATTTGGCCGAGATACAGCTATTTGAAAATCTGGAATTTGAGGGTGCAAAAAAACGCCTTTGAAGTTGTCCAAATAAAGTCCTTAGCAACACATATTACTAATCAAAAATTTTGATATATTTACAGTAGAAAATGTATCAAATATCTTCATGGAACATGATCTTTACTTAATATCCTAATGATTTTTGGCATAAAAGAAAAATCGCTATGTACGAATGACCCGTACAATAGTTGGCTATTGCTACAAATATACCCGTGCTACTTTTGACTGGTTTTGTGGTTCAGGGTCACATATATACATGTTCCTACAGTTGTGGAAAACCTGTAAATATCAGCCTGGAAAATTTGTGGAAATTGATAATATATCAATAAGTCACGGAAAGTTTTAAACATTTCTATAAATGTATTTATTATATCCATTAGAAAATGCTCGTCAGTCTGTTTTTTTTTTTTTATGAATCCTATACAATAATCACAATTGAGGGGAAAAGTAATATTTATAATATACTACTGAACCCTAAAGAGAGAAATAAAAATTGCATTTCATGGCATTTCTTTATTTGCTTTAAATGCCAGTTACATATATTGCCATTCAAATAAAGGGATTTTATTTTCACAACATTCACAAATCAGTGATATTGCATATATTAAAGATGAAAATTTCACAGTCAGGCAATTATGTGATTGTCACAGGCCTATATCCCTTCCAAACATGACAGAATTTGGTGGATAAATAAATCAATTGAAATCATTGTCACATTTGTTGTATCTTTGTTCTCTTCCCAGTCTGCAGACGATCGAGAAAGTGCTCCGTCCTCATGGCGAAGGCAGCCTGCAGGTGACGTGGACCTGTACGATAGGTCTGGGAGTCGTGGAGCGTGGTCTAGCAGAAACCGCACAGCTGATGGAAACCAGTCGTGGTCAAATCGCCATCTGGACAATTGACCCAGATTACCCACATTTCCAACTAGAGGTATGTGTTTTTCTTATAAACTTATTCAGTTAAACTTATCAAAATCCAGATACCATAGAGGATTCTGGTTTATACTTAATTAAAGCGAGCTAGAAGCTAATTACTCGCATGTTAATGAGTCTTGACCTAAAGTATCCTCGTGTGTTTTTATTGCCTCAGTTCTTACATCTCTTGTGCGCAAGGAATGAAGCTCATCTCATCTCTTCAGTTACACCATATCTTTAAAGACCATCAGATGAACAGATTTCCAGGCAGTGACCCCTGGGAACCTCCTCGTCGTACTCTTACATCAACCACACCTGTATGAATTCACCATCTTCCAGCTGTCGTTTGGGAACAGAAGTCACATGTTCCTACAGCGATGAATCCTCTTCTGCTCTCCGTAGTGTATTAAAGTCTTCAGATGTGACAAGGGAGAGGAGCAGACATGTGACTATCTTGGTGTTTGGAGGATGTGAAAGGGGCTTTGGATCAGCATTTTGAGTACCCCAGTCCTCCCTGGTGCCACAAGTCCTGGGAGATGTCCAAACTTGAGTTTTCACAAGGAGCAGGTTACAGCTTGTGGCTTTTTAAGTAGTTTGACAATCTCACTTTTTTCTGGATGGTGTTTAATTCAGGAATCAATTGGGATCATTGCACACAGCTCAAATTCATTGATTATCCAGGTGTTCACACATAGAGCCAGTAGTCAACCACATGCTAAGTCTTCAGTATGCATTAATGTACATATACCCAGCTTTTCATGCCTGGTGCCCAAGTTTATTTGATCTCATTTGTAATTTTCTCCTTGTATCTGATCATGTCTATTGAACTGTATTCTTTTACTAGTTTGTTTAATTCCTTCATCTTCATCTGTTTAATTGGATTTGATGGTCTCACAACCAGCATAGCGAATACACAGGACCACTAACACTAAAAAGCTGGGAAACGCATCTGCATGTTGACTCTTCCCCGTCTCAGTAGCTCTGAAGGGATGTTGGCTTTGGATTCCAGACCAGCTAGAGAAGAATCCAATCATCTAGAGCTCATCTCGATGTGACCTCGTCCATCTGGGTAGCTAACCGGGATTAACCCAAATGCTGGACATTTATGGAGGATTTTCAGAGCAGACTCCTCACAGCCGCTCTGTGACTCTACTCGCAAACTTTGCACAGAAAGACATTGATCCAAACTCTCAGTGTGTCACGGGAAACCAGTGTTAGGGATTCTGCTGGTCCGAGTCAGTCTAAAAAAAAAACCCCTAGATGGGTTGTTTTCAGTTATTTCAGCTGTAAAGCTTGTTGAGTCTTGAGGGTGGCTAGCATGACACCACAGAGGATCCAGAATGCTTTAGTTAGGAATGCCTGTGCCTGGATAAATTGCCTCACCATTGAAAACATCGGAATGCCCATCACTTTGTCCTCATGCGGAAATATTATTGAATAGAGCTGCTGCAGTTGAAATGTCTTGTACTGTTTCTATTAGGTTTTAAACTCTAGTGCCGCCAATTATTTATTTTCTCATTCAGGCTCGGATTCCTCTTGTCCTTGAATACTCTAAAGTGTCTGTGTGTATTAATATCTCCCTTATACAATACCATGTCTCGATCGAACCCGACGATTAAGACGAAGGGTCCATTATCCCTCGGCCCGCCAGATGATCTCAGTCTCCATTGTCACTGGAATGTGGGATGTTTTATTTTTCTGTTTGTTTTAATCTAATGCTGTACATGTAAAGTTCTGAGAGTTGATGTTCAGGTGGGCAGTTTGCTATCTTACTTGGTTATTACTGCTTTAAAAAGATCCACGCCTCACCATCACAGTCAGGTTTGCTTCGTTCTGGTTTCATGTGCTTCTGTGTCCTGTAGTCATCCCTCTGCTTGGGCTGGATGGAGTCTTTGAAACACGAGTGGAATTTTTTTTTTTTTCTGTCTATCGATTGATCCATTTTATTATTTGTAAATGCACTTAAATCATTAAAACAGTTTTATAAAGTACAAAAACAGACTACATCCTTCTGAAAATCAGTCATTTCTGATGTATAAATAATGTTTTTACAGCTTTGGTTTGGATTATACCTCAGAAATGGAGACACTACACAACTGATGTGGCTTAGCAGCAAAAAATGTAACGTGTAACGAATAATGTAATGATTTTACCACCCAACATAAAACTATGACTTAATTTTCTACACCATACAGCATTTATATATATTTTTTATTAATTTCTGAAAGTTTTTCAATAACTCATTAGACTTTGGTCGGTGGTTTGGCTTTGTACTTCCCATATTTGGGTGTCTGCTTTGTTCTGCACAGTAAAACCAAACATGTGTCTTTCCAAATGCATTCCCCAGACTTCACCTCTACTTCCTGTTCAGGGGTCTTGGGCTGAAGCGAACATGCTGGTTCCTGTATCTCATGCCCTTGCTTTCCCAGAATACCTTCGTGCTCTGGGCTGCTGTAATCCAAGCTGCCTGTCCCTAAAGCCATTTTATTAGCTGGCTAAAGCAGTGGCAGCAGGCCTGATATACGACCCCAGTGTTGGTTGCAGGTCGTAGGTCAGTGCTGCATTTGATGGGCGTATAACTTGTGAGGGAGGAAGTGAGACCAGCTGGCAGCAAAAAAGCAGAAAGGGTGAACGGCCAACTCTTTGGGATGGTGTCCATGTGTGGTACCAAGAAGAACCAGGAGGGTCAGCCTGGATTCTGTAGAGTTTTAGCCGTTTCTCAACTTCCACAAATAGTTTCAGGCATTATGAATTGTAAATCCCTCTATAATAAAATTGTGCCCGCTCAAAGCTTGCAAACATGATCCTAAAACTGCAGCATGACCCAAACGGATGTGATGATATAGTGCGAGTCTGTACTGGAAATACCAGCAGTCTCTTCCCTCCCAACCCCCCGGCCAGGCAAAGGTCTCTCGGCTGCTCTGTGGCTTCAACCGCAGCTGTCGGAAACCGTCGTTTTTATGTGCTCACAAGTCGGTCCAAAGTTTCTGAAAGAGGTCTTTTTAAAGAGGCCGACTGAATCCGCAGTTCTCAAGGAATTCTTCCTCATTTCTCAACCCCATTTACTAATGTGTCAGTGTGGCGTTCGCCCTCAGAAGTTATCTAACACATGTCTCTGATTTTCATTCCTGCACTTGTGTCTTTAGCTGTCTGTGGAAATAATGGCTGTGAGCTTCGAATACACGTCTCAGAAGAGATCAAAGGTTATATAGTTTCACATACTGTTCGTTTAAAAGAACTAAATCAAGAAAATATATCTCCCTACATCAAGCTTTTCCCATCTACATCAATTTTGTGTACATTTATGAGGTCAATCTTAACCTAGTTATGACACCAGTCAGTAAGCATTACCATGTTTAGCTTCTGACAGTTGGTGATTACTCAGAATGGAACAGCATTTTCTAAGCCTTATTGAGGAGAGTAGTTGTATTTTTTTTCTAAATGTCATAAGCAATAAAGTAATATTGAATGTACAGAAGAGACATTTTGAAAGCTGTGTTATACCCGCATTGTGAGCCGGCATTGGTCCTGAAAGGTCAAAAATAGGTCACGGTGTCAGGAAATATCACTCTAGAATCTGCACTTAACCAGCACTTAATGTAAATTACTCTTTTAACCTTTTCCTTTATGGATTTAATTTTCTAATATGCCTGTTTTTTCCCCTAATTCACTTCCCCCTAATTAATTGAATGTACAGCCATCAAAATATGTGTGTGTGTGTGTGTGTGTGTGTATATATATATATAAAAGTAATATTGAATGTACAGAAGAGACATTTTGAAAGCTGTGTTATACCCGCATTGTGAGCCGGCATTGGTCCTGAAAGGTCAAAAATAGGTCACGGTGTCAGGAAATATCACTCTAGAATCTGCACTTAACCAGCACTTAATGTAAATTACTCTTTTAACCTTTTCCTTTATGGATTTAATTTTCTAATATGCCTGTTTTTTTCCCTAATTCACTTCCCCCTAATTAATTGAATGTACAGCCATCAAATATGTGTGTGTGTGTGTGTGTATATATATATATATATATATATATACATATATATATA